AAAATCATACGTTATTTGTTAATACACCGTACCACCGATGGAGGGCACAACTTTCCCATCACCGGACACCGCCGTAGAACTTTATTTCAAATAATCTCGAGAGCACCAAAGAGTTCAGTTGAGTTCAGTGTCAGCTCCAGTTCCAGCTCCATTCGAGTCCGAGCTCCAGAAAATAAAGGCGAAACCGGTAGACAAAAAAACAGCCAGGTACCCAGGAATCGAACCCAGGACGGCAATTAAAGCCTGCCGTACTGGCTACAATTGATTAAGTCAATACCATAGGGACCCCTGGTGTATTACCTTCTTCACTGAACACACCGCGCCCGAGGTAACCCTTAACCTGAACTCGCCGTCAAAGTGATCCGCAACGCGTAAAGCGGGTGTTACATTATTATTATTATAACTTTCTGCAACAGGGTCGAAAATTGCATCAGCAGGAGCTGGCATTGGTCAACAGAAGAGCTTCGATCTTACTCCAGGACAACGCCCATCCGCACGTTCCACGAATCACCGTCCGAAAATCAAACGAATTGAGCGTCGAAGTTTTGCCTCACCCACCATATCCCTCATACCTCTCTCCAACTGACTACCATCGCTTCAAGCACTTCGATAACTTTCTCACCCGTAGCATCTTCGAACCAGGCAAAAACAGCATTCATCGACTTCATCGAATCCCAAGTACACAATTTAATGCCGACGGGATTAATCGACTCATGTTACATTGGCAGAAGTGAATTAACTTAAATGGCGCTCATTTCCATTATATTGATTGAGTATTCACTGAGATATGGTTTGTTCAAGGGAAAGAGAGGTTATAATTTTAGTATCACATAACTTATTCAGAATGACTTGTTTTGAACAATAAAAACAATTTAGTCTCACCTTGATGAAATTAGTATGTGATCATGAAACTGCACAAAAAAAAAACCCTTCTATATTTTTTCAGTAGTATTTGATATCTTGCAAAGCATTTGGAAATTAGTATTACTCCTTGAGATTAGTTAACTGGAATACATGTACATGATAATCAAAACTGATATGGGTCAAAAAATCTGAATGTGCATACGGGTTTATTTATAACAAAAGTTAGTCCAAGAATAACTGTTCGTTTGTATCTCAATAACCTTTTTTAGGAAAAAAAAATCAACATGCATATTTCACAACCATGACATGTTCGAATGATGTCCAGTTATAACGAAAGACATTTAAAAAATGTTTTTCTATGGTTCAATACACAAGTTTTCCACGATTTCAATTCAAAATTTACTGTCAACTGGTTTTATTCTCAAGCTAGAATAGGAAATGAATCTTCAATGTCTCTTGACGTGGAATAATTGATTTTGAACTTCACAGGATAGTTTAACGGCAATGAACCCTAAATGTTACTTAATCTTTTAATAGAGTTTGAATAATGAATGAACTGATGTGGTGCATTTCCATTTATGTCATCTTTTCAAACTGAAAAATAAGTTATATATTCAATTGAATTATTTATTTTCCCATCGACAATTTAGGTAGTCAGAAAACACCTACTTATATCTAGTCAAAATATGAAGTTATAGAAACAGCCATCATGTGAAACAGATAACACATTTGAATGAATTAATAGTAAACAAATATTTTTTGAGTACAAGCTCTCATTTACCAAATCTTGAAAGAAAAATATGAACTTCAAGTTGTAACAAACCCATCAAATCATTACATTTTACGTAATATATGAAAGCTTTTATGAAAAAACATAATTTTTTTCTCTTAAAATTAATCGTGTCAAGATCAGTTCACATAATGTTTTTTTTATTCACACAGGTAAATCTCGCAAAGAACTTTTATATAATATAAATTCTGTGGTAATATGAATTATTGGTTCCGTTTTAATTTAAAGTTCATTCTTAGACTTGGTATACTGTTTTATTTTTCCCATTTTGAATTTCTCCCCTTTAACGCATTCATATCCATAACATGGACCTTATGTAAATAAAATACAGTACATACATACATACATACAACACAGTACATACATATTTCAGTTAGAAAGTCTCGAAGAGTTTTTTAAAATATTTGAACTCTTTATTTTTCTTATTTCGATTGTCAACTTATTGAAAATTAATCTATAGATTAGAAATATCTGAAAAACACATTGTGTATATTAAAAGATATAGGTGATTCATTTTTCTTGATTTTTTTTTAAACAAACATTAAACAATCATTAAGGCGCTCTCAGAGCGGTGCTTGTGCGAAAGTAGCGATTCACATTTGATTTGATTCGCTGGAGATTAAATCCATTTGGAAAAATGTTCGCAGGAAGTTTATTGCACATAAACGCAGTTCTCCAGATGGAAGTTCGAAACGATGTATTGCTCTTGGTGGAATCAAATGTGCCAAGTCACTTGAACACTTTCCGTGAAAATATCTATAGAAGAGAGACAAATCTCCAACCTTTTTTCGATGTTTCAGGCTATCAAGGTTGCACGTGATGTTTGCGTCTCCAATCAGGCGGATGACTCTTTTCCGAATGGAATCCAGTAACTTCAGGGTTTGTTGTTGGGGCGGAGCTCTATACATGAAAACGATACTCCAAAGAAGCTTTGATCTGAACTTTATGAAGCATCAAAATTTGCTGAGGTGTGTTCAGTTTTCTGGTTCGAAACGGTGTTCTAAGCTTTTGAGAAGCAGCCTTTGCAATTCCAGCGACATGATTATGCCAAGACATGCTGGTGTCCATTCATAGTATTCATTGTCAAATATACGAGTTCAAGTTAGCAACTAAAATCAGTTCATTCTGACTATCATTATGATAAATAATGATTATTGATGATGTGTAGATGTGTTTCTTCAGAAGTTAAGGTTGATACTTGATTATGGGAATTGGAAAATACATTATTATTCATATATGTTTCATCTACTTGGTAACTTTAATGGAGATGTGAATATTAAATGGACACCAATACGTCTAGGCACCAATCATGTTGCTGGAATTGCAAAAGCTGCTTCTCAAAAGCTTAAAACACTTTTCGGAACTAAAAAACTGTGCACACCTCAACAATTTTTGATGCTTCATAAAGCTCATTTTAGACCTTCTTTGGAATATCGTTCTCGTGTATGAAGCTTCTCCCATAAGCATACCCTGAAGCTGTTGGATTCTGGGGCATTGAAGAAAGGTTGAAGATTTGTTCCTCTTCTATAGATACTTTTTCGGGAAGTGTGCAAGTGACTTGGCAAATTTGATCCCCCCAAGAGCGGTACATATCAAAAATACGCGACGGACTGTGGCTGCTCATCGTTTTGAGTTTCAACTCAGTACACCTCGAATTCCACTGGTCAATCAGTTCTTCTACTTCTAGAACTTTCTGAGATATATATGATTCTATTTACAATGTTCAATTTCAAAATAATATCATATACACGGCAAAAACAGCATTCATCGACTTCATCGAATCCCAAGCACACAATTTAATGCTGACGGGATTAATCGACTCATGTTACATTGGCAGAAGTGAATTAACTTAAATGGCGCTCATTTCCATTATATTGATTAAGTATAATATATATATTGTTTTTCCTAAAATCGGTCAAAACCAATCAAATAATTTAAAGTTCATATATCTCCTGCATCGTGACTTAATCACGGTCCTCTCGAAAGTTCTAAAACGCCATGCCTTTTCAACAGTCGTTGCACAAGCTTCCAAAAATATCCATTGGGTTATATAACAGTCTAGTTCGAAAAGTACAGTGCGAATTGAGCTGATAAGGCAAAAGCCATTCGAGCATTAGTCTCAAAATCAAAAATGCTATTGTACCTAATTGTTTTTAACAAATTTAAGGTCTTTGTACAGTGTATTCACAATATTTAGATTTCTCTCACATAAAAGAATGGTAAGGAGTGGTAGGGAAAAGTGTTGGTGGAGAAAAAAGTTAGGGGTCTTCAGTAGGATGAAGTTCAATATTGAACTCCATGACGTACGAAAGGTGAAGCGCCGCCTCATAGGCCCCCGACAGGCCGATGAGAGGCCGCCAGCTGATGTTAACGGGTGGCTCTCTGCCCAACAGAGCCTCATTTCAGCATTCAGTCTAAGACTTTCCACTTCCTGCCGGGGCTCATGCAAGATTTCTCGTGGTGTTGTGAATTCGGTACCTTATATCTGAATAAATGATAGTTGAGTTGAGGCAAGTTAATCACTAGCCCTCTGGAAAAGTTAATCACTAGCCCTCTGGAAAAAGTTCATGAAAAACAGGTAACAGGAATTCTGATATCACGAGAAAACGTGAATTATCTTAGCCAGCTTTTTTATGAATTAAGCGTTATCGCATTCGCGTCGTTCCTGAAAGACACCGTGCATTTCATAAATCAGCCCGTGTTTACGGGGCTGATTATGATAACTCCTAAGCGCCGTGACATTCCTCGTCAGCGGATTTTTCGGCAGAAAGAACTTGAATAATTCATAAGACAGCCTCCTGATATGTTCAGTGGTCGTCTCGACTTCTGCGTGATCTAAAGATCATTCAATGAAATATATTTGTCACTGTTCGTGCAAATACGGACACCTCCTTCTACATCGTCTCGAGTACCCGCAAAGGAATCCTCTTGAGGCTGCAGAGTATAGGACAGGCGTACAACATAGCTGGTCTGATTATTTGTTGTCAACACTGAGCTAAGAGTTTCCGTGCAAAGAGTGGGCGCCTATCCAGGATAACTCCCAAATGTCGCGCGCTCCTCTGCTCGTCAACACGGTTACCGTCGACTCGCAACTTCCCGAAGCTCGTTACGTTAGTAACTTTCTTCGAGGAGTTGACGAGTTCCATTTTGGTAGTATTTCAGTGTTGTCGTCAATGTAGCAGTGGAATCAAGTTGAGTTCAATTGTAAAGTGTGATTACTTATTGTTGATCCTACGGGAAAAACGTAACAATATACCTATCTAATTCGAAAAACCGTCTCAATTCTGAAATTCTGATAGAAAAGATTAATAAATTTTCTGTAAGCAATTTTTATTATTAAACATACCTTGAGCCTTCGGGCTTCTATAACTGTAGCTGTCAGCCTACTAAGATTCTCATTGTAGACCAAAGAGACTAGGAGTTCTCCTAAATCTGACCTTATTTCTTGGGGTTCCTGTAATAGAAGTTGAGGAGGTGATCAAGGTGAGATGACTGTTTTCGATAGAACTTATAAATTGTAGTTCTCGAGGTGTATCGAATGCTCAAAAAATATCTAAGACTTTTTCTGCTTCAGTTGTCATTTCAAGAGTGTATGTCTTTAAATAAATTGTTTTCAAGATTTGCAGATATCAAGTTGAGGAACGAAAACTATACCATAATGAATGAAAATGTACCAGGAAAAGTTGTAACTTTTGGAGCAGAACATGCAATCTAATCCCCTGGTAACTTCAAGTTCAATTTCAGTAAATGAATTTGAAAAAATGTTCTTGAAAAAAGTAACAAATTTTGTCCTATA